GCGAAGGTGTACTGTCTGAGTGCATACTTTGAGGTATCTTCGTAATAACCTTATTATTATTATTCCAAGGATACATCATGGGAATGCCGGAATCTAAAAAGTTTAGAATACAATCAGCGAACTTCTTTGTGTAGAGTCCTGTCAAATCCGGGTGGCAGCCATGTTTTTATTATTATTAGAGGACACTTACGCGCGTAATCATTCCATATTTGGAATTCGCATTTCCTTATATGGGAGGATGAAAATACCGCGTAAAATACCGTAAAATTACGGCACGCTGTAACTTATGGCGTTACGGTGATAGATGTATAATAATATGTAATAACATTTCAATTAACTTGTTTAATTATTAATCACGACCGTGATATTGAAAACACACTATAAATAATCCCATGTGTGTGTAAATGCTTTCTATTTATTTCCAATGCATTATTCCCTTTCACGAGACCCCTCGGTAAGTTTTTGCTTGGATCCCGACACCCGCGACTTATAATTAGCGAGGGGCCACCATATTACGTCAATGTTGACAAAACAGTAATATATACCTTTCCTGAAAAATTATGGAAGCGGTAACCTTCATGTAGTATATCACCCGAAGCTATGTTATTGAACGATAATTAGTCATATACAAAAAAAATAACACTTCGTGAAAGGTAACATTTTCAAGAAGTCACGTGATTTTAAAATCTTTAACACCAATCAGCGTAAGGGATTGCACACAATGCTCCGCGCTCATGTCGAGCTTAGGATTCCCACTTTTGTTGAGTATGAGAATACTTGTTTTGGGTGAATTTCATTTGACATAAAACACTGAAAATGTCAGATGTCGTCATGACATTAAATGGTTAATTATAATGTATAGAAGGTTATCAAAACAACTGACAGAATAAATTTGAATTACACGAAATTGTAAAGTAATTATTTAACTTTAAATACAGAATTAGACCCAACGCTTGACCAACAGTGTAATGCTGCCCTCTACGGGAGAAGCAGTGACGCATACGTGTAACATTGCTCTCCTAATACCATGGTAACCATAGTCAGGGGAAGAGTGAACCTGATGACGGCAAAGAATAGAGCTCTATTTGAGGGCAACAACAAGTCTCGTGTCTCTCCCGCTGTCAATGAGATTTCGTCGGCCATATGCAAATACGGTCCATTGTAGTATATTCGCAAATCGAAGATAGTAGATTTCATTGGCTATGTTTCAAAATATGAGGAAACTTTCTACTGATATCGATGACGTTAACATCCCACATTCCACATTTCATAGATCTTTGCTATTTTGTTATATTTCATATTTCAATAGAATGATACATACATTTTTCTAACATCGACAAGCAGAATCCCAAAGAGTATAATTTGGTTTTGTAATGTACCACACAGCACGTATATAACATTATAACATAGGTAAGTGAGCAAAGCACACTGTCTTAAAATGGTTTATTAATCAATGTTCCAAAAAACACAAACATCAAACCATGTTTTGAGTTTTTTTTCTCAGAACTGAATATTTGATTGAGAAACAGACTGTGAAGTCAAAAGTGCAAAAAAAAAAAAAAGGAAAATCAGAACTGAGTCAATACAATCGACTGTCTCTGCTACACTAGCTGGTTTTAAAAATACGGCACGATAGTAATCACGATAATCTGTCAGTTTTACTGCTATTCAGATGTGTTGAGTCAAGAACACATGACACGTTAAATGAACCGACAAGTTTTCACCATTGACTTTTGTGCTACACCGAGCCGCACTACTTTTTACGTGTCAATACAATCAGATCGCATATAACACCTAACAACATTTTATATTCTGATCCATGAAAATAAAGTAGTCCCGAAGGAATGACGTAAGATGTAGTTATCGTAGAAAGTCCTCAGTTATTTCTTCATTCTGGCCATTCTTTTCAAAATTTTAATAACTCGAAAGTTGTAAAAGTGAGTTTGATATTCTATGTACAGTAACGATGCACACATCAATAGTAACATACCCACGTTATGTTGGTGAAATTATATATATGACAAATGCACAATACCTTTTGCTTTGATGATTTAGTACTGTAACATTTCTTCTTGCATTGGAAATTCTGGTGCATAGAGGCAAATACGGTCTATGTAGGTACAGTTTAACACATGCTACGACAAGTGCATGAAATTCACAATAGTTAGTTTTTTACCTGAATTAGTCGGCGGCCATGCATATAAAAACATTCAATCAAACGGTACTGTTGTACGTATATTATTGAGTGCTTTCACATGGTACAATTTATCGCAATTGATCGATATTTTCAAATCAATTATTATCTTAATTGCAAATACAAATGTTCTAAAATGTCAACGTAAAAGTCAATGTATGTAGTAATAAGTAGTAACACAAAGTACATTAGGACAACAGTCTTGGATGGAAAGATTTTTTCGATTGTTCCACCTTATTATCATTGCGTATTATACTACTTTCGCACGCTCTGCGTCCTAGCTTTCTTAGTGGCTGTCAGGTAAAGAAACCCACCAATATTTAGGGCCGTCGTATCTGAATCCTCTCTATAAAACACTTGCGTTGTTTCAATGTCAATAAACCCGGCTTCTTTGAGCGCTGATTTCACAAAACCTTCGCTGACCTTCAAAATAGGGAACTCCGTCTCCCCGATAGTGTACGATGTACCGTTCAGGAAGCTCCACAAGATAAGACGACCGCCCGGTTTTAAGAGTGACGCCATGTTCACGACCGCCTGGCGATACGATCGGCTATCGGGACTTGCACATTCTAGGCACAGCGAAGTAAACATCGCATCAAACGGGTAATCGCTTCGCGGCTCCAGAGGATTTGCTTTAGTGACGTCACAAGGGATGATCTCTTTAATTGCCTTCCTTAGATTGTTTTCTCGTTCTTCGGATGTCTCATCAGAAAATAGCATTCCACTTTAAGTTAGTATTACTCACAATTACAGGTTACGCCCACTGTTTATGTTCTAGAGGTAGTACTAAATCACTCACGTGACCGATTCGTGTACAATCATTAAAACTCCCCTAATCAAGAATACATATGACTTACTGTAAACAAACGTGCGTAGATTAATATCCCTATGACTCCAGTCTATAAAACACATCTTAGTTACTTTTCGCAAAGATGTATAATCTATATATACTCCTACATTTTGAAGTGATCAAAACCGCCATCAACGCGGATTTCACAAAATGTCATTGTCGCAGTCTCGCATGTGTGGCATTTGAGGTCACACACAAGGCATGTATAACTTTACAGTAAATGCCCGCCACAATTATTGCTTCAAATTTACTATGCAATTCTCCACCGCTCTAGACAATTGGTTTCGACTTACTTATTTCCTTCTAAACCACATACATATTTAAAACATGGCGTCCAGTCCAATGAGCCTCGCTTCTTCTCTTTCCAGTTTTGCAAAACTCGCCTACACGACTCGGTGTACTCGGCACACACTATTTCTTTATAACGCATACATAGTGGGATCAATTGATGTATGTTCGGCCCACTACCAATATCGATCATCCGATCACCACAGAATTTACCTATGAACAACGAAACAAATTAAACCTTCAATGTTCGTTTATTCATATAAAAAGTATACTAATGACGACCTGCACGAACAAAATCCATTTTATTAAAATATCGACTACAATTTTAAATTCTAATGACATCATTATAATTACCCAATGTCCTCACTTTATATACTAATTTCATATAATTTTGAGTGAGTGTCATGCCAACAATTACGAGGGATTTCCTACATAACAAGCCTATGCTCGAGCTGTATTACACGAACACACAATGGCATTTTGTAATTATATCTTAATTATGAGTCATGTTATTTATATTTTTGAAGGTACTTATTTGTGTAAAATTTGGAAAGAAATGTTTGCATCCAAGAAACTTATGATCGCGCTGATAGTGACTTCACTATCATATTGACAATTCCATCTTAATTAAAAATAAACCGGCGTTTTCATAAACACTTAAATAATTTTATCGTAAACGTATTTAAACTGATGTTTATATAACACAGAAGTAGGCTTAACCATACTACTGCTGTTATCTGGAGTAATGTATTGATTGGAAACATTCTATTTTATAAACATATAAGTATACCAATCATCCTAACATTACATAACACTGTGTGTACTGAAACAAGACTTGCGTACATAATGTCAAATTTAGATTTCAGTCTTTTTTTAACTTGAAAGTTGTAGGCATAGATCAGTGGTTATGTACATTTTATCAAAAGAGTGGTCAAATTTGTATATAGAATGATTTTCATTTTCATGTAATTTGCGCACAATTTGTAAATTTCAGAGCATTATCTCTACATCATTGTGACAACATTGTACATATTATGAGCTCCAGTAGTGTTACTTTAAATCCAACAATAAGTTCGCGGGTTTATTGGTTGATCTTTATTATAATTATAAATAATTTATCTTTCTGATAATATGTATTCGTTTTATGCAGGTACAGATATCAGCCCACCATTCAACAAACAAGTAATGTTCAAAAAGTATTAATTTTCCCCCACTTCTTGAGCAAACAATACTTGGTTCATGTAAAAAAAAAGTAATTTTTTAATGTCACCAATCGAAGTGTGTTATGTTATGGTCGAACACTTTGTTTCGTGTCAGTAAAATATCATTTTGCGGGTTTCGGTATAACATGGTATTTTGTCGTCTGAGTACGTCGTGCACTGTGACGCCTCGTTGGTAGCCGGTAAAGAATATCGACTAAACTCAGTCCCCAAATTTAAATCTATCGTACTATTGCATAGGAGGTAAATGTCTAATTTAAAACACCACAACCTCTTGCGTTTGTCCGCCAATTTGTCTGTATAAAACAGTGACCTTGCGCATCTTGAGTTAACTGCGAACGAGGCTACACAGCTGAAGTAATCGGACAGAATGTCACGTCAACGGAAAATGAAAATCTATCTATCGTCTGCTCACATTCAACATTATTGAACTTTTGTAATATAGGTAACGAATTATCATACTTATTTATGTGTAATTTTTGTTTGTCACAATAAATTAACCAACCCAGTGTCAGCTTATTGTATGAATGTATTGTCAATTGCTGATACTAATCTGAAATTGCACAGACAAGTAAAACGTATAACTAAATCGAAACAAAGACGGAGACATATAACATATGAAAAGTTGGTTTAATCTTTACGATTGGAAAACATTTCAGCCACAATTGATTCCTTAACATATATCACCAAATATCACACATATATTACTGAACATAGATAACTTTTAAACATCGACACAAGTTACAATGACATCGATGATGACATGGAAAATGGGTTTGCAGTCACGCGGTAACATAAGTCGGCGCAGAATTTCAGTGATATCGTCAACGCCTTTCAAAAGACATGATTGGTTGAAGACGTAGTTTACTTTTATATAATATATATGTACGAGATTATGATATATATATATATATATATATATATATACAGTGAATTATCTAAAATAGTTCATAATATTACGCTCATAGCGTTGTTTCGAAAAGTAGTCGTGTAATGACTCCAGGCACCCCTATGATCAAAATGGTTTGGTCGTATCAACATAATTCGAAACTGATCCTTACGTTATTTCATGGCGTGCTATTTGTTGATGTAATAAAGAAAAACGTGATGTAGATCATTCGTGAGTGTCATTTATCATATTAGTTCATAGTAACTAAACAATATTTATCTTTTCTCAAGAGTCCGTACAACACCACTTGAAACGTTATTTGATTGCATTCTCCGATGTATTTCTTATATTGTATTCGCTGCTAGTACACGTAACATTTCTATTGTTATGTGCAATATCCTGGTACAGATTTCACTATGTTTAAACATGCTTTAATCATTATGAAAATGTATATAACAATGGATAATAGGAAATTTTGTAATATTATAAGTATATAATTCATACTGAATACTGGACAGAATCTTATAGAACACATCGACATGGTACAATACGTATACGTAATTGGCGCATTTAAAAATGGAATAAATGATTAGGCGATTGTTTCAATAGAAAAGCCTCCATACTGAGTGTAAATGTAATGAGAACAGTCTAATGTATATGAACGCGACAATCCTAGTGGAATAAATGGACTGTGTCTATTGACGTGTTGTGTTATCAACGCATCTAAATCTACGATAACAAGAGAGTTTGACGAATTGACCTTTGACACAGTATGTTGTAAACACATCGAAGTGCAGAAATCTTTAATTTATTGGCCCTCTCTTCTCCATCGAGGAATTCATAGGTAACCTCATGAATTGAACAGATAACTTTAATATAAATTCCACGTTTTTGACGTGTCAATTATAAAAATGGCTGCTTATATTAATAAGCTACAGTAATATTCCAGGAATCATGAAGCGTTTATGCGTTATCCTGCACTACTGGCCAGGATGCTGGAGTGAGAACGTGAATAATGTTGTCCGCTGCATACCTACCTGTGTCCAATGACTTTTGCAATAACACGTGAAATCGTCGGTTATACTCAATCAAAGACATCACAACTTGTATGTACTTTTCTGGGTTGAAATGTGTGTCATAATCAACTCGATGGTAAACCGCCGCCATGTTTTCAAATGCACGTTGCAGGAATAAATACAGGCAGGTCGGTGTTTTCCCGTTATGGAGTCTGTAGCGTGTACCTGGGTGTGACTGTACTTTGGCCCATGGAACTTTTATCAGTCTAGCATTATTTACTTTAGATATTTTAGTAGGCAGATTGGTTAAACAAAACACTACATGGGCAGCCATGCCTACGAACACGTGGCGCCACACCTGTTAAAGTAGAGCCACTTGGATCCTATGAACTAGACATGTAAAGGTGAGGAGTCGACAAAACGTGGATCTAAGTAGATGAACGGATAATGATAAAGGGTCATTGCCGGAAACTCGTGTGAATAGTCACTTATCGGTCCTAGCTAATGTCTTTCGTTTTTAGAAATGACGCCCGGTGTATGCTGTGTTCGATTAGATGCGTGAATGGGCTATTCGTTCGTCATTTTCTGTTGTTAAAGTTCTCTAAATCATTAAGATAACAGCAGAATACAAGGTTCAGGTTATCGATCATATAAAAAGTATTGATTGTGCAAAGTTTGCACTGTAAGATATTGCCTGGCGACGGTTAAATTGTCATTTTTTGGAATGATGTCCCATATTCTCTTCATCTCTACCATGAACTGGTTTATTCCATCTTGCATGACTCTATTTGTTCGACTAATTAAACGCACGAACTCCTTCTACACTAGATTTAACCAATTTTGTTGTTGTTGTAAGTTTTTGTTTTTTTACCAATCAGATTTCTCATTATTCGCGACAAGCATGTGGAAACTAAACCTCTGTTCTGGCGGTCGGGAAATTAATTGAAGCTACTCACGAAGCTACTCACCAGTCAACGCACTTGTCAGGATTTGGGCGTAAATCAAACCAAAATAGACACAATAAACACACTGGATAAACACTTGGCACACATTGATGGTATATCGTAATAATAATAACGAGCTCCCCAAAATAGCATACTATGAAGTTATTACGAGGATACCTCAAAGTATGCACGAAGACAGAACAGCTGGAGTATCGACGACATGCATACTTTGAGGTATCCTTGTAATAACCTTATTATTATACATTTTTTCCTGCCAAGGGTACACCATGGATATGTCGAAATCCAAAATGTTTAGAACAGAATCAGCGAACTTGTTTGTATGGTGTCCGGTTGTTTATATTATTAGATGACGCTTGCGCGCGTAATCATCCCATATTTGTAATTCGCATTTCCTAATATGGTAGGATGATAATACACCGTAAAATGCCGCAAAGTGACGGCACGCTGAACTTACGGTGACAAATGTATAATAATAATTAATATGACACTGAGTATTGATCAATATTGTATATATTCTCACTGCTACATATACAACCTTTTACGAACTGTATAATAGTTTGTGGGAAAATAGTTAGATAGAGGGACTGTGGTATGACGGACCTATTACCAAGGATAGAGGGACTGTGGATAGACATTATTGCATGACCCATTTACCACAGTAATTTTGTGGGAAGGCCACTGCAAATGATACATACATACATACAAAATAACCTATAATTTTCTGGGAGAGGCTGCATGCGTGGTGTTTTTTTTTCCATCGAACTACTAGTAGTCAATGATTTTGTATAACACCGGGGGCCGTCCGACTCAATCAATGACTTTCGTTAATGGAAATCGACAACATGTAAATGGAGACTTTGCTGTCTTACGTCATTTAAAGATTCAGATACAGCGTGGGAGTTATTAATGTAGTCTGTGCTTAATGGCGTCTCCAGTGTGTCTCTAGCACAGAAAACTAATCAATGTTCTGGTAATTATCTGGCTCTCATTAAAGAATAATCATAACATTGAAATTTACATGAGCGGTCCTGGACATTGGGGATTAAGAATTACGTATCAACAAACCATATCACCACACATGTGCAACATTTGTCTTGATAAACACTGATTTTCCCATAATTCAACGCTGTCTTCTAATGAAATCACAAGTACATATTTTGACCTGGGCGCGGCGTGTACTAATTACAGCTGTCGACTCCTTCGATATCCTCCACTCACCAGAGAAATTACATAGTTAAACCTCAGTAACGTATCAGCTTGTACGCGTTTATCTACGCAACCAACAAAGTTGCCATCTTTGTTTATAAGAGACCCATATCTCACGCATGCGTGGCGCGACGACCAACACCCTTTTAGTATTGGCGATGTTTTCAGAAATGTTCCGCCACCTACAGGCCGCTAGTATTAGAACTTTCGTCTACAGAAATGTGCAGCACGCCCTCTTGTGATACTATTAATTCGTTTACTAAGTGTGTTTGTTTAAACGGATATTCGTTTAAAAGTATGTTCGTAGTCATTGCGGAGCAGCTCAAAGTGCTCGTTACAAAACATGAAGACACTCTGTACGCTTTACCAGTTTTTTATTCATTCATTATTCTTGACAGAATCCAATCAAATGATACAGAAGTAGGTGAAATTAACATGCCCGTCCAAAAAATACTTTATTTATTCCTAAAACAAATTAAGTACCGAAATGTCTTCATTGACATACACAGTTCATCGTCTGTGGCGCCGTCACAGTGTCGACCACGCAAGCTTTTAAGAGCATTTAATATATTGCTATGCTAATTGTTATTTCTACTGTACTTTCCCAATTAAAGAACAAGTTTATGCAGTCTGTTTTTTTTTCTAGACTCGGTAGTACACTACTTGCGTGATATTCAGATAGATTGCGTGACCAACTGTTAGTCTCGATTGGGGTTCACGACACAAACCAGCTCATATAAAACCTAAATTGCATGTTTTTTATCAATGTAATGAATACACAACAAACCTATACGTATAAACACACAGTGAAACAAGAAGAAGGCGCCATTGGGTGTATGAATTCTTGCGTTATAAGTACCGAGTAAGCTGTCTTAACATATTTATGTTATAATTAATCAGTACTCTTAGCCATACATGAGTTTATAATACATTAATACCACCGACCGACGACTATTAATTAAGCCAATAGACGGACAAAAAGCTGCATGAATTATGTATGGCTGCAAAGGAGGCAAAGAAACAACGCACTATATTATACTGTAAATTATGTGTTTCTGTGTTAGATGTATTATTATAATTATTTGGATAATTCGAAATCGATTTTAATATCGCCTGTTGTTCTAAATTTTGTGTTTTCCAACAACTTGATGTTCGATTGTTGATATGATAATATACTTTTGTCTAGTAGTTCAGTACTACTGTAACAGCTGCTTCTGTCAGGGTTCAGCACGCCTTCAAGTAAGGGAAATTTAATTGCGTTTCTAGGAATGCTGATTTCGTTCAAATTCTCGAATTGTATAAGCCGCAGGGGGAGTTTTTTTATGTGACCGCAATGAACTGTGGGTTACTGAAACACCGACATGACGCCGTTTTTCAACCATTGTTCACTCGTGTCAATTAGTTACCGTGAAATTATATTGCTCTTTTTTCACATACTACATTTTATTTTTTTTATATGAGTAATGTTTTGATGTTTTGTGTTATTTCTCTGCGTAATATATTAAATGTTATTTGAATTTGTTTTCTAAGATCGGCCGAAATACGTCATCCTATTACCGCGGCAAATAACGAGATGTTGTTACGCGAGACTTATATGTACCCTATTTGACGTCTGTACACACACACACACACACACACACACACACACGTGAGTGTGTTCACTCGGTCGTTCCAGCATTCAAACGTTACTACGGCATCGCTGTGGGTAGTAAGGCTTGTTGGCATAGGAATAATTGGACGCATTCAACATCACAAACACGGATTATTAGTCGAACATCGATTGATGCGGTTCTAGCAGCGTACGCTTACAGTGAGCTGCCAGCGAGGAGAAGAAAACAGAGCTTAACATAGTCAGTAGCGCTGCTTGCTCCTCGTACCATAGTTTAACTCGCGCGGTCGCCATGGCGTACTGGTTGCTGAAACAGTTTAGTCGCACCAAGAAACTTGACACCGATTACTTGAAAGAGACCAATTTGTCCCGATGTCTGGGTGTATTCGACTTAATGGCTCTGGGTATTGGCAGTACTCTAGGTGCAGGTATATATGTCTTGGCCGGCCAAGTGGCGAGAACTCAGGCAGGCCCAGCGGTTGTCATTTCATTTCTGATTGCTGCCATGGCATCAGTACTATCAGGTAAGACGGATTACTTAATCCTGTTTTAATTCAGGACATCACATTGACATATGTATTCAAGATAATCATCATCATCAACAACAACAACAACTACTACTGATAATTTCAATTACCATGTGAGTCACAAATCAGGTGAACTTTTACAATTCACATTAATTTGATTTAACGTGTGTAATACTACGATTGGAAGAATTGTGAAAAAAACACACACATACCAATCATTAATGTCGACCGATCGTATGTGAACATATATACGTACAATCACTCAAATTCACGTTTTGCAAGAGTATATCGCATAGTATCATTCTCTAGATACGCTTCGAGTACAAGCAAATTCGAAATACGCAAATCAGCATTATACGCTTGGAACTAAATAACAGAAAGCGAAATTGGAGTTTTAAAGATCTCACATCCCTCGAACCATTATACACAGTCTATCATCCATTAGGCGCTTGTTCACGACTCTGGCAGAGAAATAAAAAGAATGATTGACGTATTACTCCTTAATCTATATGCAAATATTCAGACCGAGGGCACTTACAAACAAACTATTCATACGGCCCTGACGTAATCAATATTTCACGCGATAACCCGTTTCAAGGAAAGTAGCATTATTAAAGAGAGAGCATATATTCAATTCTGCCGACCTTTGTTAATTGGATAATGGGCGCCAGACATTCTATAGAACGTCAAGTTAAGCTTGTAAAATTATATTTGCCGTTGAATAGAACGTATGATTATTTTAACCGCGTTTCAAGGCGTGTATATACTTGCAGATTATCGTGCATTCTGTGAGTGTATTCAGTGGTTAATTTAATGCTTTTTGAAATTGTCCATGTCATCAGCCGCTATTCATATGACGTAAGACATACGAATAAAGAAGGTGTGTGTATTTGTCTGTGAAGGCATATATTAAATAAGATATTTTGAAATAGAAATACACATCGCAGAGGCCAGACTTCGAGACGCGGATTGGTTCAAGGAGCTAAGTACCGTGCACGGTTAGTCGGGAATAACAACTTGCTTGGAGACAACCCAGGATAAATAAACCACTTACACGTATACATATATCGATTATACGTCATCATAATAACTGCTGTTATTCGGCAGATTTAAATATCGGTTCTAAAACTTGTCAATTTGTTTTACTAAATAATGCGGGAAACGGCACGTAGTAAAAATAATTGATTATTACTTGCGACATCCTTGCAAGCAAAATATAGTTTGCATCACGTGACTCGAATTAATTTAAATGTAGAGCGGGGAAACAAAGAGAGAGATAGAGGTGAGATGAAATACCTTATATATAGATGATACACTACTGGGTGTGATTTATTGTAAAGTGCAACTAATAAACCAGACAATATATATACCTCTCCTCCAGTGACGAAGTGCTTCCATCAGTAAATGGGTGACACGAAGCCGCTAAAAGCGTCGATATCGTTTTGATCTGTTTTTGATAGATTTACTTGTATTTTAGATGACAAGCAACTTCACAACCAAAAGCACTTATCGACACTTATTTCTTTTTCTCACAAACATCATTTTAACATTTGTCACTAGAGGGCTCTCTGTCTTTAGAGGGCGCGACATATTTGATTGAACGAATACTATCCTCGGGGGCGGACATCCGGGCATTTTCTACCGCCTGGCAACTCTCGCGGTGAAAACAAAGACCAAAAACTCGCAGAAAACGGTACTTTGCGATGGTTGTTGAGAGTCCCCTGAACAGTGTAACAAGATTAGCCCTACGTGTGTAACATATATGAATTTGGTTGTTCATGATTACTTCAAAGTTGAGTTTGTGTTGTTTTCTCGAGTTTTCACCGGCTCCACCGGCGTTCCACAGCAGCGCGCATAAAGCCCATAGAAATACGTGGTACAGTGGTGCGCGTCTTAGCAACGTAGAACGTCCGTGACGTAGCTCCGCCCCCGAGGATATTGAGTATGTTGCGAAAAAAAAAACACATTTAATAATTAGTTTTAAGCGTCTTATTCGGCGTACCGCGTCGCGTTCTTTAACTTTCCTGTGCAACGTATACAGCACGTTTTAAAATGCGTGACGCACTTTAAGTTAGCTTTATTAAAATCAGAATGTGCATAATAGTTGTTGTAATTACTCAAATTCATATTTTTATTTCTACATGCCGGGAGAAGTCACTTCCCATCATTGCTATTATAAAGAAGATCACTTTTGTCGAGAGCTTAACATATCTTTGAATTAGTTGACAACTAAATCAATGGCAAGTTGCTTTGTAGAGATAAAATTTATCGATATTCTTGAAAATCCATGTTGCCCGAAATAGAATTCAATGACTGTTTTAAGTTTTTGCATGTCATCGACACTTCTATCAATGTTACTTATAATGCCAAGATTTATGATTTTACGTGCTTGGGCATTAATTTTAAACAACAATGACAGCCAATGAGATTAACTCAGTAGGTCATTTAAATGTTTACAACGTGTTTTCTTGTGCGCGTGCGCATTAGAACAACCTGCTAAAATCGGCATATTAAGAGCTCAGTCACAGGATAGTTCCTGAACTCACTTTTGTTTGTTCGTTATTTCTAAATCTAAAGTGTTGCTTTGTAAATCCGTGATGCGGTGTAATGCCCATATATGGGTAGTGTTATTATCTTAGTACAATGATATTTTAATGAAATGCATTGGACAAAATGCCAGTGTTTTAAAATAAGACTTTCTCAACTCTGATATTTATCAGAGTAATAAATTACCGATCCTTCCCGCGCATCGATTCATATATCACATATGATTTACGGATCTTTCATCACAAACCAAGCTATCGCCACGTTACTATCACATGCTAAAACACTGTAGACCAATTCTGGTGGTTACTGATTACTGAAAATACAGTGTTTTCCCGTCAATCCACAATACCACGCGAATATCACATAAGACAATAATGCTTAGTCTAAGACACGATACTCGACTCCCAGCTAACCCAAGTCATATGTTGGATTCAATGAAAGAACCTTAGCGCTTGATGCATTGTGCGTCGAGTGGCCAACATTGTTACCTACGTCTGAATATCTAATAGATTACAGGTCCACAACGCCGAAGAATGAAACCATCACGAAACATATTATGATTTGAAATGTATACGTGACCAGCCATGCTTTAATGACGCACTGGTCGCTGTAGGGAGATTTCTGTATTATAGAAATAATCAATCGATCAAACAAACAAATCAGTACTTATTTGAATGTTTGGCTAAGTGATTGACTAATATTTTTTGCCGTCACACGCATGGCAATATGTTTTCTGTACTGACATTTTAGTAAATATGTGAGGCGGTTAATAACTGTTTTCTTGTGACGAACCACCAAACAAATCTCTTTTATAGTGGGAAACGAATAAGCGCACAAAGCGTAGTGGATTTTTTTTTTTTTTTAATTTCAAACATTCGCCGAGACGTCGAAAATAATTACTTTTGCAGTTGCACTCACTCACACACTCACCCACGCACTCACTCACATTTACCAATTTGTAGCTTGAGTTCATCCTTCATTTTAATGAAGAGCAGAACTCCATGAATGTCAATTGTTTTGCGGCACGGAGTGGGGGGAGGGGATCCTAATCTGTACTACGCATCTTAACATTTAAAAATTGATTCTTTACCCAAAGGTGTTGAATTCCCATTAATGAAAATCTCGATTAAATGGTATATGAACTGCTATTCCATTTTTGAATTAAAACGACTGATGTTGTATTGGCATATGTTATTAGTATTTAAAGAAGGTTTGAATCGAATTAAAGATTATATTTCATATTCGCCATATTTATTATTATGGATTCATGCCATCATATTTCGGCGGAATTATTTCTTCAGATCTCATATTCTTTTCTCGGTAACATGGAATGTCATATTTCTATAATATACGAATCCTAATATTGTGAAAAATTAACATATAATTATTTAGTTATATATTTATTTTTATGCGCAGTAGAATGCACAATAGCGTAAAATTTGAATGCAGCTCCTCACAAGATTATATACGGATTAGTGTGGAGTGGGGTCACTTAACACAGTATTGCGCAAATGGTACTATATACATACTTGCATAAAACTGGGCTGATATAAAAGCCATTATTTAAATTGCATTTCAGGGAAGGACTGATATGAGAGTTATTACGTAAATATGATAAATATAAAAGTACTTAATATATATAAAAAAAATCACAAAGCATGCCTATTATAAAACCAAATCCACATGAAATGATCTAATTCTGAATAAAAACAAAGAGGTTTGGTTTGAGATATTATGTAAATGACATAGAAAACTATACATACTATTACATGCGGGACTCGTAAAAAACACATTACGCTGTAATTATAACTATCTCGAAGCCATCTGGGATCCATTATATTTTCTTTTGAAAAAAAAAGATTAATCATGTCTTGACAACTTGATAATTAGTCATCTCACTTTTCTTGATGCCAACATTACTAGAGTAAAACTAGTGGAAGGACCATAAATGTAATGGACAGTTTAAGCTCCCCACCCTCGAAGTAACATTAAGGATGTGCTGGTTGGACAGACTAACAACTAGTCTGGGTGTGCTGGAGAGCATCATCTAGCAAACTGCGGTGAAACAATGGTAATGTGATGGTAGCATAGGATAACAACACGCGATATACCACTCTGGCTGTGCTGGACAAAATACACTTGCAAAATAAAATAAAATAAAAAATGGGCTGGTCAGAATACGCGGCCAAGATTATAACATTGTATATCGGCTGAGCAGGGTATGCTCTCAAGATAGAACAATATGGATGGGCTGCATCGTGTCTTTCTCCCAAGATAGAACAATATGGATTGACTGCACCACGTCCTTCCCTCAAGATGGAAAAATTGAATGGAACATTCTTCTAAGATATAACACTGTGTGGATAGGCTAACATGGTATGTCACCAAGATAGAATAATATTAAAGGGCTGGACAGGATTTGCTTCTAATATAGAACAATATGCCTTGGC